ATTGAACTAGTTGATTATTTTAAGGAACTTGGTAGCACCATGTACCGTGTGTTTAGCTTTGTATTCTGTGATATAAAGAATAGACATTGGACAGTAGGGTTGCAGTCAGAATGCTGGTACAGCTCCTAGCTGGGCTATACTTACACAAGATTGTGTTTCTCTTTTCAGATGTAAGAAAAACCATAGATGATTTAAAAAAAGTGTTGAAAAATTTTGAATCCAGAGTTGAATTCACAGAAGACTTGCAGAAGATGAGTGATGTAGGTATTCGTTTTTATTCTCTTGGCATTTTCTAGTTACTTGTGTCTCGGTGCTTCCAGAAATGTTTCTTAGGCTGACTGCTTTGATGGTTAGAGGTTTCTGTTATTAATATGCTCATTTTTCTTGTTTAAAAATTAGGCTGCAGGTGATATTGTTGACATAAGAGAAGAAATTAAAAGTGACTTTGAATGTAAAGGTAAGCAATGAGATTGTTATATATGAAATTATTTAGATATTTGCCATTAGTGTGGATTTTTGAAGGATCTTTGGAAACATTTGATATTGTTATATAATTACTTTTTAAATTTGTGAGATATATCAGTCCACAAATCTATTAATTTTTACATAAACTTAAAGGAAATGAGTTTTGATTAAAAGCTTGTTTTCTGAGTATTGTATTTAAGTGGTAGGTTGCATGACTGTTTTCCACCCCTAGGCTCTCTGATGATCCCAAACCTCCAAGGCCCCAGAGACCCAGACTCCAGACGTGAATCTGCTCCTCATTTCATCTTTGACCTTGGCTTGGTCGGGAGCTGTTGGTTTTCGTCTTTAAGCTTTAGACAGTGGTTTTGAAGAACGACTGTCTATCAACATGTTTTAGTCTGTGCGTCTCAGTACCTGTAGCACTTTTGCATAGGCCGTGCATGTGAGCATCCAGTAAGATGTTTTTGCCAAGGGTGGGTTGCAAGTTTGGGATGATCCTGTGAAGCCAGTAGCTCAATCAGCGGTTATTCTGTACTAAGGTCTTGAATAGTTTAAGATGTAATTTGCAACAGTAGATTTGCAACATTTATTTTTCAAGTTCACACTGCTTGAAAAGAGAGTAACCAACAGAAACCAATTCTAGTCACAGTGTTTCATAAGGTGAAGCAGAGGAAGCAGACAGCAGAGCACAGAAAGACACTTTTGTTTGGAGTGACAGGTGAAGAATTGTGTGTGCGCTGCCACCACTGTAGAATTAGACTGCCCTCAGAATGAGGCAGTCACACATAGTTTCAGCACTGGTGCTTCAACCCTGTGCTTTGGAGGCAAAGGCAGGCAGATCTGTGAGTTGAGGCCAGCCTGGTCTACAGAGTGAGTTCCAGGACAGCCAAGGCTACATAGAGAGACCCTGTCTCAAAACAAAACAAAACAAAACAAAAAAGAGAGGAAAACTTCAAGTCTAATATGGGTCACATTTTAAAATTTATTTATTGTTTTATCATTTTTTATTTGAATTACAAACAAGATTGAATTACATGACAATCCCAGTTCCCTTCTCCCTCCCGTCTTCCCCAACCACCCCCCCAATCCCCACTAAAGCCCTACCTGTCACATGTCCTCTCTTCTAATCTTCCCCTGACTCAACCTTTCTGCTCCCTCGTGACCCTTGCATTCCTCCTCTTCTCCCCTTCTCATTCTCGTAGCTCCCTCCCCTCTTCCCATGCTCTCAATTTGCTCAGGGGATGGTGACCTTTTCCCCTTCTCCAGGGCACCGTGTATGTCTCTCTTAGGGACCTCCTTGTTTCCTAGCTTCTCTGGCAGTGTGGATTGTAGGCTGGTAATCCTTTACTCTATGTCTAAAGTCCACATATGAGTGAGTACATACCATGTTTGTCTTTGTGTGATTGGGTTACCTATGCGTCACATTTTACATAAAGGTTTATTTGTTATTTGAGATGGGAATTTGAAAGTAGGAGAGAGTTGAGGTCATCTGGTAGAACAGTTTCTCATAACAGATAGTACTTTAAACTTCACATTACTGCCTTCAAAACTTTAATTTGCTTTATTAAGAAAAATCTATTTTTAAATGAAAAGCAGATAGTTTTGTGTTCATATTTGATCTATCTCCTGCCCCCACATGACAGTTGCAAATAAAATAAAGCAATTTAAAGGACAGCATTGTTCATATATAAAATTATAATAGAACTTTCCAGAGATTAGCGTCTGTCAATTCCTCCCGGCTCTGCATTCTTGTCAGTGCCTTAGGGTTTGAATATCTCTCCAGTAAATGGAGTCTCTTGAGTTACGATGGTAAGTGGATATTACTTGGGTGGAATTTTGAATTGTAACCAGGGT